GGATGAGCGTTAGGTCGTGCGTCTCGTGGTTGTACGAAGAACGCGCCACGTCGAGCAAGTTGCCGAGCTTTTTCTTAGAAGGCAGGTTGGCGAGGCCTATGTCCTCGTAATACTCGCGTAAAAACTTGTGGCTTACGCCAGCTTCGGGACGAACTATAGCGAGGTATTGCTTGATGAGGCCCTCTTTATGCTTCGATATCTTGGCGTAGGCATGCTGGATCACCCAGACATTACGGAGCGTAGGTCGCAAGACCACAACGCTATCATGATTGTCCTGGAGAGACGAGGCTCCGGGATTGTCGTTGTCATCAATGGCCAGTTGGATGTCAGTGCCAGCAGCGAAATCGCGAAGCTTGTAGCTCTGCTTGCCGCGGATGTCAACGTAGCCTAGGTGCCGGTTCGGGTCACTGCTCGTGTCGACCCCGACTAGATCGTTTAGTTGAGAATCGGTGACGACGTGGCTGCGATCGGCATGGGCCTTAGGGCCCAGCTGTGACTCAACCTCATGAGTTGCCTTGGACACATTACTGTGAACCGTGGTCATCATATCCTTGAAATCGCGTAGAAGCGCCGACTGGCAAGAACGAAGCGAGGGGTCATCGGGACTGGCAGCATTCTGCTGGACGGCAGCTTTATTTGACTCGAGAGTTGCCTGTGTGACCTCGTCGATGCTGCGAAGAATGGCTTCGATATGGTGCTGCTGTGTTTGGGTGAAGGCGACGACGGATTGACGGCCGTCGTCGGCTCCAGACTGAAGCTCCATGTTGAAGAACTACCAGGAAAAGATGACTGGGAAAGGTACGGCAACTGAGTGTCCAACTCAATCGAGTATTGTTTCTTAAAATGAAGCTGTTCACTTGATACACGTACGTGGAGAAAAGGGAGAGTCGTTGGAGACGGGGTGTTACGTAGGATAGATGCTACCTACAGGCAATGGTTATGGGTTAAACGGGGTTATGGTGGTTATGATGCGCAATGAGGTATTACTATGGGAAGATATACAGGATTCTTCGATAGATATAGTGGGATAAGTATTTCTTAAATACAATTCACAGCAAAGCAACCGTACAAAGAAGACTATCTTGAGCACTTCTCTATTTTCACCTCTCGTCCGGCTAGTTTCTTTCGCTATATGAGATTAACACAACTTACTTGCATTCTACCGGTTAAGACACTTCGCAATTAGGGGGGAAACGGGTATTGAATTGTCACCACAGTTGTTATGTGGCGTGCTGTCTTGAGCTGGCTTGCTGATGACATGCAGCCTGCCGTTTTATCAGTAATTTGAGATGGATGCTCGGCTCCAAGTCAGGTCATTGATATTATGAGGTGTCTACAGGTAGATACGTAAGATGTATACGAAGAAATTAAATACATCGTGAGAGTTATGATATACCTAACCTATGCCCGTGGCAAGAAGAACAAGTATCAGACCAAACAAGTCTGAGTCTGGTTCCTCTTGCTGTCTTGTGCCGTCGAAGAGAAACCATCAGAGCCATGGCGACACGATATGCTGCAAGTTGGATGCTGCCTATTACAGTTATCAGGGGACCTCGCCGACGTGTGGCTTCCTGCCAATCACCACCTTCATCTTGTAATAAGGATGCATGCTCTTCGACCTCAGTTCGCGGCGCAGGTGTGCTGCGTAGACTTGAATCTCTTCGATAGACCATCCCATAATACTAGTCCACATCATTACCAGGAATCCTATAGGCGAGGTCAGCAACAGCATACGATTAATGACTTGGGGCCGTCACAAGTGTATACCTTCGATGTCCTGGTACAGACCAAGACGTAGAAAATGGCCAGCCTGCCTCTGCTTCTCGTCTGCCGGCCACGATCCCAGCGGCGCCTGCAGATGAAAGGTCAGCTAAACCGTCTCTCGTCCCGCCAGACGTTCAAACGTGCCTTGAGATCGTATTCCTGGATGTCGACGAATCCCGCCGCCTCCATGCATTTTCTTTGCACGTCGTCTTCGACCACGCCGAACGACTTGCCTGACAGCCTACCGCCCTCGTTAAAGACCTTTCCCCATTGACTCAGAGCAGAGTCCTCCGCAACCGTGCCATCGTCGCTGATGATGATGGCCGAGGAATCCTTGTGTTCGAAGTATCCGCCGGGCTTGAGAGCCTTGAAGCATTCATCGTAAAGTGCCCTCCAGTCCTCGATATGGCCAACAAGCCAGCGCATGTGGATATAGTCAAATGTTTCAGGCTTGTAAGTCCAAGGCCGCGTCACGTCGTCCAGTTCGAAGCGCAGATTGGGCGGAATCCACTGCGGCTGTGTGGGCGAGACGTCGACGCCGATGACTTGAGCGCTGGGGAACTCGTCGGCAAAATCACTGCTCCAGATTAGCTCTGGGTATCATCCACCGGCGGAGATGGCGGGATGATTACATTGCCCATATTCCTGTATCCAGGTTGGTAGGTTAATAAGAGAAGAGACGGCAATGTGAACAACGTCTCGTGTCGTGAAACTCACCTGGGCCGCAGCCCACGTCTAGGACTTTCTGCGTCATGCTCAACAAACAGCCGTGAGATGATTCCGTGGCGCGTATGCTCTTACCTGGATATTCTGACCGATAGGGGCTAGGTAGAGCTTGTCGTCTTGCATCAGCATTGAGGCGTGGTGTAGAATCTCCATCGACTCGTTATGCTGGGCATCGTTAGGATTCCTTGGAGCCAGAATCAGCATCGGTAAGCTGCATATCCTAGCTGCACGGGTGAAAGCAAAGAAGGGTCGTACCAGGACTCGGCATTGCCAATCTCGCCGTGGAATGTGCGGCCATGCAATGTCCGGTACTGGAGGATGCTGGAAGTGACGGACGCGGTGGAGCTGGCAAGGTCGTCCGCATAAGCGGAATCGTCGTCAGACTCGTCGTCGTACTAGAATAGTGCGTTAATTAGTACATGTTCACCTGGAGGGCCGCCCTTCGAGCCTGTCTTACAGTTGCTTGAGCCCAATAGGACGCTGGCAGGATATTGGGGGTCTCAGCCGGTTCCGTTGGCGGAAGGTCTGCCGACGTCGTGTCCGTCGTTGCCTGTGTTGCTGATACCTGTGTTTCCGGTACTGGTGATCTTGGTACTGATGATTCCGGCGCTGGTGATTTCGGTGCTGCCTCGCCTGCGCCTGTATCGGCGCTTGTAGAAGCGGCCGCCTCAGGCTCCGTCGCCTTGGCTGACGGGTCGGACATATTGGGTAGCTATTTACAACCCCTCTCGGCTAAGGCTCGCTCACGCAGAGTGAAGCATAATAGCTCGGTAGCGACTGGGTGCCAGTCTGTTAAGTGAGGAGAATTTATGCCGCGCCTTAGGGATACGTGCGTGAGCATGTACGACATAGATAAGCCATTTTTGTCCGGGACGTGGCAAAGGGGAGCAGCTGAATATCGGATATTGCCAGGATGATGTTAAAGATTGGTAGGTGTTATACATTAAGTGACCAGTCATTTGTACTCGCAAGAGTTCCCCTTACCGGCTGAAGCGAGCTGTCGGTCACCTTCCACTCTTCAAACATTCATTACACCGCATCGGGTGGCGCTTGGTACGGAAAGGAAGGTATTTGAGTTATACGCTAGCATACTAACGCCGTGTATTGATGATGATTCGACGTAGGTGTTTGTTGTCGTACACATACCTACCTCCTCTACTACTTATACTACGTATCGCTACGCATGTTATATGTAGAATACCCTTGGTAGATGGACGTAGGTAGGGAAATGTACCAACGATATGTACGCCCGAGTACCTATCGAGTACCAAGGTATGAATGAGTATGGTACCGGTTAGAGATGCCAGGTATGCGAGCAGTAGGGTATCACGAACCCAGCAAATGGATTCAGCTGTACTTGATAACCTTGTCACTTGACTTAGGTGTAATATTAGGCGAAAATACCTACCTAACGAAGTGGTGTGCATATCTTGGCCGATTTACGAAGTATTTATTATTAGAATGAAGAAACGAGGATCGGAAGAGCCGATGCTGGAATTGGAGAAGACGCCCAGCGTTGGTGCGGTAAATCTGATTTCTTTTTTACCCCTTTCCCCAACTAGGTGGGCTAAGGTCTCCTCCGTTCGTACCCGTTCCCCTACTACTACGTAGTATGTTTGTATGCCGGTCTCATGAGCAATTTACCTACCTAGGTATTCAGCCTCATAGACGACTAGGTCTTATTATCACCAGACTCTGCATGTAAGCAGCCATCGAGCTGCTCAAGCTTGCTTGCCACGTTCTGATACTACCTGCCTGTACTTGATCCGCATGCTACGCTAGATCCATCGATATCAAAGCCTCACCATGTATCTACAGATCTTGACTTGTCCTCAGCTTACAGCAACATATTCCTGCATCATTCAGCACCCCCTCTCACCCGTTTGCTCGGCCGGGATAAATCACAGGTAGATTCATACCTGACTCTTATTAGGTACACAATGTAGATATCAAGTATCTAGGTACTCATCTTCTCCCCAGTCGGAGGAAGCATACAACTCCGAGAAGTGATCTGTCATTTTCAACGATTTCCGCACCAGGCCCGCTCGACGCATTCACACCGCCACGGGATTAGCCGATGACAGCTCGTCATACCTCAGCTCTGCTGTTTGCTCTGCTGCTTGGACAACCGCGGAACGGTCCGGCTATGCGGCCTTGTTGATTCGGGAAGGTATCTTAGTACCAGTTTAAGACTGATGTGCCATACCAAAGAAAGTTTGCTAGTGAAGGTATTGTACGTCTCATAGATATGGCGAGGTGATGCGTATGTACACTGTAAGCATCGAGGATAAAACCCAGGCGGACCACGTGGATTTCGTCTCCATGTCCGAGATCTAAGATTTCCTTGGGCCTTTTCCACGATGTCTTACACGGCACCCCGGATTTACTGATCGGACACTAGTCCTATACGAGACATTATTGCATTAGAGACAGGGATGGGCACCTAGTCCTTTATGAGGACACATTAGGCCAGCCAATCCCATCCTGGCATGGCACCCTCCGATTTCAACGCTCGCTTGGCACAGCGGTAATGCGCCTCACTAGTATATCAAATGTTCTACTGAGAGAAGCAATGAGGAGATGACTGGTTCGACTCCAGTAGTGAGCAGGAAATTTCATTTTGATCCGCGTAGGTACTATCGCTGTTAATCCACGATAGCTTCGAAGTACCTATGCTTTATGTATGCTACTTTTGACGAGTAAAGCAGGACTACACGAATCGGCTTATAGGTAGATGGTATCGTCAAGCATCATCAACAATCGTCAACCAATACATATCTATCCAAAGGGGCAGCCTCCCCGCCCAAAGCTCCCGCGGAGTCTCGACACGTCGGCCTCCATCTCCTCGATTCCCAGTCCCATGCGGTTTTGAGGTCCCAACTCAGAGAAGAGGTACCCCTGTGCCATATACTTGTCGGGTTCGTCGCCCGGCACCTTGCCGCCGAGGAGCCACACGACCCATGCCGCAGGTCTGAGCCAGCGGTTCCAGAGCGTCGGCTTGATGTAGAACGGAAAGTTCCCGTACGACATCCGCTGCGTCATCCTGCCCGTTTTAGGGTCCGGATCGTTAAGCCGCCTTTGCGGGAAGAAGCGCGGGAGGGTTAGGTATCGCAATACGAAGAGCCGCAAAGTGAGAAGTGAGTAGACTGTCGCAGCTGCGATGGCGTCTGGTTCGGGTAGCCTTCATGTTGCGTCAGTCTATACAGTCTCGACCGCTACCTGTATTGCGGAAGAGAGAAGGAAAATGAAGAGGTAATCAAACATAGCCTCTCATCCTCCATCTTCACCCCGACGGGAGCGGTATAGGGGCAAGACATCGACACTTACATGAAAGCCTCGCGCACCCTGTCTCCCAGGAGGCTGATGACAACATTTGTGGCAAACGGTGTCGCGAACCCAGGGGCCCAGTACGTGATGATAGGAATGAGCGCTCTTGCCGGCTTAGCGCTTATGAGGCTGGGCTTCATGGCGACAACCTCGTACGCCTTGGCCCAAGCCGTGATGTCCTCGGCGAAGTCGATGCCGTCGCGCCAGCCCGACTCGGCGCGGGCGAGGAAGCCCTTGTACTCGATGCCCATGGCGTCGCCGACGCTCTTCCAGAGCACGCCGTACGCGCAGTACTCCATCTCGTTCAGGGCGCGCCACTCGTACAGCCGGCAGAAGCGCGGGGGCTCCGTGACGAAGACGGACAGCGTGTAGAGCAGGTCGGCGTTGGATATGGTGCCCTCCTTGACGTACTTGCCGTGCAGGAAGTTCATGCGCGCCAGGCCTCGCATCGCTCGCTCTGAGGTGGGAGGGTTCTGCAGGAACTCCCCGATCAGGGCCCCCGTGTCCTCGAATCTGTCGAGCATTTAGTGCCTTGTTCATCGTGGCGATGTGCATTTGTCGGTAGCTCCTAATACGCCTGGCCGAGTAAGAGGAGACGTGGTCTACACCGACACCGACATATAAAAGAACCCAACCTCAACACTTTGGCCATCTTGTCGCATAACTGCAGCATAGTGGCAGGCGGTGAAAAACAGGGCCCCTTACCTCTTCAAGCTCCTCACCGGATCTGTCAAGTTTCCCGTAGCCAGTAGGAGGCGACTTATGGTCTCGACGCCGTATGTCTACCCAAAATACCCGTCAGTAGGCTACCCCCTGCGAGTTACCCCCGGCCTTGTTCACTGCGCCGCTCCGATCTCGCCCAACTCACCTTGAACAGACCGAACTGGAGGGCCACGAAGTTGGTCAGAGGAAACTCCCAGGAGGAGAGGGAGTGGACGATCTGCTGGGCCTCCTCCGTCGTCATGCGCGCGAGCGAGGCGCGATTAGGGTATCCGAACTTCCTGCGCAGGGCAGACTCGTAGTTGAAGCGCAGCGCCCGGCACAGGCTGAGATAGGACACGACGGCCACGACGGCGAGCTGCGTCCACGATGCCGACGCTAGCACATCTAGCAGCGGTTGTAGCGGCCACGCCGCCGCCTCCGCGGTCGTCTCGGGGACGGAGTCATTCATTCCTGGCGATGTGAGAATCTTGTCATCGGAAAACCACAGCTTCGAGAATGTTTGTTGAGGTACAGCTTTACACTACTGAGCAGAGAATACTATGAGAGTATAAATAGGGCAAACGAACCGAGCAGCCGACCTAGCGGAGATATATGTATGTACAGCTAACATAGTAGCCTGTAAGAGGACGTGTGCTAGTCTGGCATTATGCTGGAGCTTCTCCATGCTACCTAGGGTTACATATACTAATGCTAGGTAGGCAAGTTGGCAACCGGATCTCCTGACTTGAGTGACGTACCATACCCTGGACATTGGTGGCACTCGAACTCGAAGCCTTAAGGATGTCACCCATTTAGAGATTCTGGAATGGTTACCTAGTACATGTGAAAAGGGGAGGGGGGAGGAAGTACGGACTGAGCACACCCTCTTCTTCCTTTTGTCTTGCACCGCGAAGTGGTACAGGCAAAGGTTTCTAAGGCGCAGAATCGAGAGGCACATCGGATCTGGGTCTACATATTCGATCTGGCTTATTAGGTCACGCGGTGTAACGGACCTCCCCAGTACAAGTATAGATTGGCAGATGTGACTCGGACTGCATTCTTCAGATCGACGGCCGTTCAAGAGTCCGTCACATCTGCGCCACATAACTAGAACTAATAGGATCACGACTGCATATAATGAACCGAGGTGTTTTTCTTCATGCCGGAATCGGTGGAAAAGTGGTATCATATTTTCATGGTATTGTGATCAGGCCCAAAACTCCAACAGGACCCATCACTTCAAGACTACTCTCATATTGGAGCGCCAAGAATCTCAACAGCTTGTAGTATCATAGCAAGCATTTATGCTTTCTTTGCTTTTTCTCTTCTGGCATTTCTCCAGGCCTTGACTTGGTTCAATAGACCAATGACCAGAGGGACTCCGACGGGTCCCAGCAATGGTAGGTATACGGCAACCTTGTGCTCGTCGGGGAAGTAAAGCTGTCCAACCATACTCTTCTCGAAGAAGGCACGTTCCGCCTCGACCTCGGCTATGCGGGCGTGTTCGAGTCCAACAGTGCCACCCAGGTGGGAGCACGCGAGCTGTAGGTGGTGCATGGATTTGGCCACACCATCTGCGACGCTAGAGGGGATAGAGATGCTCGGCAAGGCTAACGAGAGACGCGCTAGCGATCCTAAAGATGAAGATGCTCGCAAGAGTAGATCTGCCGATCGAATACGCGTCAGCGTCGATAGACGCATCGGTAGAGGCCCCGACTGCGGCGTGCCGAGGAGCGAGAGGAGGTGTGAAGTAAAAGTCAAGATAGGCTGCTTTAATAGTTCGGTCGAAACGTGGTCCGTAGGAGGTGGCGGGAGGAGATATGCAGACCCCCATTGCGGTATAAGCCAGGACTGCGAGGTGCTAGTTTCTGAAACGGAACCGATAGTCTGGTTGCCGATGAACACGATGAAGTTGACGGTTGGCGCGCCTCCTATAGAGGGCGACAGAGGCCACTCAGCAGCGTTGATGAAGCTCGACAGATCTTCCTTGGAGAGCACCTGCGACTGTACGCCGGGAATGGCATAGAGCTGCACCTGTGTATCAATGGTGAAGTTGTGGATAGGCCCAAGCATGTTCAGTATAGGCTTCATATATTCGTTAATGGCAGCATCGATATCCCAGCTGCTGGGAACAGGCCCGCTCGTAAACAGCGAGAATGTCAGATGGTATGTTCTAGAGTATTTTAATGACCTCGTCATCCGCTTCGACAGGGACGAGGCGACGTCTTGGGAAGGACCTCGCGGCCGTCGCTCGGAAGGCATCGTAGACGTCGCGAATAGATGGGATATAACATCACGCTCCTCGGCGAATACCTCGCGAAGCTGCGTTGCAAGGTACGTAGTCAATTCAGATGGAACGGCTCCGGAGGCGGGAATCGAATTCGGAGAATACGTGATCTCGAGAACGGGAGCGTGGGTATGGAGTAAGGATGCCACAGACTCGCCTGGGCTGAGGCGCACGGTAAGTGCAAGATTCGGGTCGCGGGCTTGGTTGGCTGTGCGATCGACATCGGCCGATGTGGAAATCTCGAGCTGCAAACGGTGGCCTGAGAAGTCGTTCGTCGCATCCAACGTCTGCTCCGTGATCTGCACGAGGTTCTGGACTTCATCGTCTCGGAGAGCGGGCGCATCGATGCCGATTCGAACGGGGAGCACGGGGTTGCAAGCCTTTACGGAAGAGCTAAGGTCAGAGCGCGTAACAATGGCGATTTAGGATAGAGTTGACCAACTTTTCCGTCGGCCCAGTCTACCATCTGGCTCAGGGGTAGCTCTGCCCGGTATATAGTGGTCGTCTTCCACCATATCGGTAGGCCGAGGAGCACAATGAACCAAAATGACGCGACTATGAAAGATCGTCTTTGCATGTCTTCTGGCTTCTCGGGGGGTGGCTGCTTCAGGGTTGATGGTCTCGAGGCACCGCTTGTCTGAGAGTCGCCGCTGAGAGAAACCGGTGCGGGCTGTTGCGCAGTGCCATCATGTCGATTCTCAGAAGAGGAAGACATGATTATGCAAAGTCGGTGTTACCTTATTGGCAGCATGGTTCAGGGGCGGTTTTGTTGTTGAAGCTACAGCTTCTCACTAGACTTTTGATGCCAGCGTGTCGTAAAATGCCAGATGGAAAACGAGAAGAGCAGCTGCATGGCGCAACGATAACGATAACAGCGGCAGCGGTACAATACAGTGGGCCATCAGGTCCCTGAATTACAGTTGTATTTAATCCGTACAGTCACTGTATACCTTAGGTAGGTACATGTACCTATGATACACCCGCAAGACACTGCAGTGTTGCATTAACCAGTTCAATTTGACCTATTAGTAGACTATCGGGCATTGCTTCATAGCAGATCCTGATTTACGGAATACTCATCAAGTCGACTCTTCATCCTTTCACAAAAGCAGTACACCGCAGACCATTCGCCATAAGACATAAGCCACGGCCAGGACCAGGACCGTGGAATCCCAGCAGGGCTATCCATTTTTGACACGCATGAGACATTATGGCATTATGGCTCAGATTCGCTAAAGGAAATTGACAGGGACCTGCTAGCTCCCCGCCAGCCCGCCCAACTTGGGCTGCTT